GTTGATGCTTGAAAAAAAAATAAGATGCATATTTGCAATCACACTTCTTTTTAAAAAAAAAAAAAAAAAAAAAAAAATCAACAAATGCAGGAGTCTGTCTGGCCTTTCAGTCCAAGAAACTTTCTGCAGGTAGAGCTGTAATGTTAACACTTAGTGAAACTTATTTTTCAGACGATTTTCTCCTTTTGTTTTGTCGCGCAGCAGACATGAATCATTTACTTCACCATCTGTTAGAAAGGATTCAAGTGGAAACTGCACTTGCTTAAAACAGTGAATGTTGACGCTCCATCAGCCACAGCTGATGGCTGATGGAGCCACTTCAAAAATAAGTCAAATAAAATGGCAATTTTTAACAGACATTCCATGTTCATTTTTGCAATTTAAGCTTTTATTTTTATATTTATGTTGACTACAACAAAAACAAATTTTTAGTGCATATGCAAATGAAAAAAAGCCCTTCCAACTAAAGTTCAGAGAAGTTATTTGGCAGAAATGGATTTTCTTTGATTAGTCAGCTACTGATATTTTTCACAGTTTGGTGACTCAATGCCTCATGTTTTTTATGTAATGTGTTGACTTATTTTCTTGTTGTAGGTAGACATCAGCTCTTCACCAAAAACACTGTCTGTCCCACTTTAATCTGTCTTTACATTTTATGCTTCCAGCTGAGGAGCTGAAAACACAACCAGGTGCTCCTACGCCTTGTGCCACATTGTCCTGACATTATGGAAATGTTTGACTATAGACTAAATTTGCTCTGCTTGCAAAAGAATTACTTTTAAAAAGTAAATTAATATTAGTAAGCCTCTTGTGCAGCCCACATAGAGGAGACAGCTGAAAATAATTGGCTTAGCCGTCCGTTTTCTGGACAAAGCCATCAACACGGCTATTGTTTAATGATGTGTATGCTCCTTTGTTTTTCTTTTCCCTTAAAGATTATTCCGCATTCAGTGGTTCTGTGTGTGTATAGCTGTGTTTCTTCCTTGGACAAAGCCATAGATAATGTTATTGCTGCTATTAGCAATGTGTAGTCTATTCTTTTCTTTCAAATAGAAAGTACGCCTGGCTCAGTGTTACATAATTGGCTGGAGCTCCATCATGTACAGAACTTCTGCTGTCGTTAGCTGAGTGTAGTCCAGGTCCATTTTCATACAAGTTACTACAGACACACTTACTTAGCTGCCCAATCAAACCCCAGTTTGTTGTGGAAGACGAATGCTTT